AAAAAAAAAGGTTTAAAATTCACACCCGGTAACAAAAAAAAAAAAAAAAAAAAAAAGTATTTCTGAGGCATTGTGAAATTAAAAAGGGTGGAACTCAGTGGGTTCAATTTCTGGCATTGAAAAAAAAAAGTATTTGTGGAACACAGTGAAATTTAGGGTACAGAGGACAAAGTGAGGGCTGAGATTCACACTGCCTGGCAGCCAGTAAAAAAAAATGTTGACCAGGTTTCAGAAGAGAAAGACTGCCCAAGCAGCAATATATGAGGAGACTACTAAAAGCTGATCTCGAGCTCCACAGATGTGAGACTGAGCAGAGAGAGACACTGAAAAATTATTACGTCTGTAGAACACATGTTCAAGAAGTGAAGTAGGGACACGGAAGATACTTAGAAGAAAAAGAGCAACTGGACTTAGAGATGAAATCTGTAATGTGTGAAATGAGGACACAGTGTGAGATCACTGTTGCATTAAATATTACAGGAGAAAAGATGAATGAAACTGAAGATTTAGCCCATGAAACATCCCAAAGGAAAAATACAAAGGAAAAAAATCCAAATAAATAAATAATATCAAGGGTTGCAGGACAATCACAGGTAACTGAAGGACCCTAAAGGAAGGGGGCAAGAAATATACATGACAAAATCATGGCTGAAATTTTGTTCAAATTTGATCAGAATGATAAAACCTCAGATTCAAGAAGCTCAAGAAACTCCAAGCAAAAACCAAAAACCCAAATCCAAAAGCAAACCAAAAAAAAAAAAAAAAAAAAAAAAAAAAAAAAAAAAATCACACTGATGCACATCATAATCGAATTTCCCAGAAACCAGTTAAAAAAAAAAAACAAAATTTAAAAGCAGCCAGTGCAGCAGGGAGACTGGTATTTACAGAGGGTCAATGATAAGGATCAAAGATAAGGATTAATGCAGATTTCTGGTTAGAAACAACACAGACAAAGAGACGGGAGCAACCATCTTTGAAGTAGGGAAGAAAAGAATTCAGCCTTGAATTCTACCCCCAACCTTTAAGCAGTGCAAAAACCAGGGCCTTTTACAGTCAGCAAAGTGGAGCAGGGCTCCTGCCCATCACAGCCACACCCCAAGAAGAGAAATGCATTGGCACAAGGAGCCAGGTATTTGATGCAAATACAGGTGTGCACAGAGCGGCACCCAAATGGCAGCTACCTGGGCACATATGCGAGGTTTTTCCAGTCTTTGAATTTCTTTAGAGGATAATTGACAGCTAAAGATATGGACAAGGGCCAGGCATGGTGGCACACACCCATGGCCCCAGCACCCAGGAGACAGAGGCAGGAGGATCGCTGTGAGTTTGAGGCCAGCCTGAGCTGCTCAGTGAGATCGAGCCAGGCTGACACTGCGTAGGGAGACGTGTCAAACAAAGAAAAGAAAAAGAGGAAAAGGATACGGACAAAGGACAGCAGGGTTTAGAGTATATATAAAAGCAAAATGGATAACACATAACACAAGCTTACAGATGGGAAATGGAGTGAAGAAGTTTCCCATGTAGGGTTCTGGCACTGTGGGAACAGGGCATGTGAGTACCCGGGAGCCTTTGAGACAGGGACTTGGTGCGTCTGGAAGTGCTTGCCTAGCATGGAGGAGGGGCCCTGGTTTCCACCCTAGCACAGCAATTCCCCCCTAAAAAAAAAAAATAACCTTCAACCAGGCAGGCATGGTACTGCATGCCTGTAATTCCAGCACTGTGGGAAGCTGAGGCAGGAGGATTGTAGGTTCAGACACAGTCTGAGATTGAGCAAGGCTGTCTCAGACACGTAATCTTAAATATCACATGGCTTCTCTTATATGAGATCCCCAAAGTATAAACAAAGAACAAAGTAAAAGATAGATTCTGGGAAGTAGGGAGATAGATCTCTTTCCCATGGGAAGGGGATCAAGAGGTGGAGGGAAGGGGATTAAACAGGACTTATGATATGTTATGTACATGGGCCAGCTTCTCACAAGGAATGTAAGCATTATCTTCTAAAAACATATGCTAATAAAAAGATGAAATTAAAAATAAAAATTAAAAAGTGGCTGAGGACATAGAGTCCAAAGGTCCTGGTTTCAGTTCCCAGACACACACACACACACCCCACAACAAAAAATACCTTACAGCAGCTGCTAAAATTAAAAAGAAGAAAATAAGGAGGGATACCTAATAAGCCCACAGAGGAGATAAATAGGTAAAATAAAAGTAACAATTGGTCCCGACAGTTCAGGAAGAAGAGGAAAAACAAAGAACTGTTGGGAAAAATAGAAAAGAGACAGTAAGCCAATGGCACACAACTGTAACCCCAGATACGTGGGAGGCTGAGGCAGGAAAACTGAAAGTTGAACCTCAGCTTAGAAAAACTCTATCTCAAAATAGAACTAAAAATGGAGCTGGAGATGTAGCTTAGTAGAAGAGTGCTTGCCTTGCTTATGTCAGGGCTTGGGTTCTGTTCTCAGCAATGCAGATAATGATAATAATAAAAACAACAATTGATTTTCAACTTAACTAAAATCCATAACCACATTAAATTGATAAACACCTCCATTAAAAGGCAAGTGCTGGGGATGTGTAGCTCAGTGGTGCCGCTGTGGGAAGCTGAGGCAGGAGGATTGTGTAGGTTCAGACACAATCTGAGATTGAGCAAGGCTGTCTCAGGCACCTAATCTTAAATATCACATGGCTTCTCTTATATGAGATCTCCAAAGTATAAACAAAGACAAAGTAAAAGATAGATTCTTGGAAGTAGGGAGATAGATCTTTTTCCCATGGGAAGGGGATCAAGCACAAGGTCCTGAGTTTGATCTCTGGGAAAAAAAAAAAAAAAAAAAAGGCAAGCAGGACCAATTGACCTGTTTGTTGCCTACAAAAATTGTACCTCAAGGATAAAGACATGAACAGGTTAAAAGAAAAAGGATAGTTAAAAAAAAATAAAAAAGGAAAAGGATGGGTCAGTTGAGGGCCGAGGATATAGCTTGGAGGCCTGGGTTACATCCCCAGCAATGAGAAAACAAACCATATCAATATCAGACCAGTAGATTTCAGGAAAGTTCATTTTATAATGATAAAGAGGTCTTCCTCAATTGAACACAAGATTTCCAATCTGTTGTCTCTGATAGCATGGCTTCACAATATAAGAATTGTATGGAAAAATAGCCAAACCTGCGATTATAGTTGGGTATTTCAATATCTCTCTTTCAATGTTTGGCAGAACAAGAGGGCAGAAAACCAGCAAGGGTCTGGTGGGCTTGAATCAGGCCAAGGGCCAACTTGCTGCAGCTGACATTTATAGCTGACCCCAGCCAACAACAGAGGAAGACACATTTTTCTGTGCACACGGGACAGTTGCAAAGATAGATCCAGCCCAAGACTTAGTATATTTAAAAGGATACAGGTCTGGGGATATAGCTCAGTGGTTCTGTCATCTGCCATGCAAGCACAAGGTGCCAAGTTCGATTCCCAGTACCAAAATATAAATAAATAAAAGGATGCACATTGCACAGAGTATATTCTGACCACAGTGGAATTAAGCTAGAAATCAATCACAGAAAGGTATCTGGGAAATTCCCAAACACTTTGAAAGTGAAACAGGACATTTCCAAATAACTCACAAGTCAAAGAGGAATAAACAGGGAAAGTAGAACATGTTCTGCCCTGGTTGAAAATTAAAATACAATATATCAGAGTGTGATGGATGTCTCCTAAATGGTAGGAAGGCAGAAATTTACAACACTAAATGGTAGCTTAGAAAAACGGGCTATCCACATGCAGAAAATTGAATCTAAACCCAGATCTCTCACCATGCACTAAACTAAAATCAAAATGAATTAAAGATCTAAATGTTAAAACAGAAACAATCTGCTGGAAGACAAAATAGGTAAAACTCTTGAAGACACAGGCATAGGCGGACTTTCTGAACAGAGCCCTAATTGTACAAGAAATTACATTAAGACTTAACAAAAGGGTTCACATAAAATTAAAAAGCTTCTGCACAACAAAGAAAACAACCAACAGAATGAGGAGACATCCTACAGAATGGGAAAAAAATTTGCCAGCTATTTCTTAGACAGGGAAAGAATATCTAGGATATATAAAGAATGCAAAAAATATTAGGCTCCTCAAAATAAAAGACTAATTAAGAACGGGCAAATGAAATGAATAGATGCTTCTCAGAAGAAGAAATGCACATGACCAATAAATACATGAAGAAGTGCTCAGCATCTCTGGCCATGAAAGAAATGCAAATTAAGGCAACACTGGGATTCTATCTTACTCTGGGAAGAATGGCCATCATCAAGATATCTAATAATAACAGATGCTGGTGAGGCTGCAAGGTGGGTAAGACCCTTTTACATTGTTGGCCGGAGGGGAAACTTATGTGACCACTATTGAGATTAGCATGGAGGTTGTTAAAAGACTAAAACTAGCAATTCCATTTGACCCAGCTAGTCCCCTTCTAGGTGCTTCCCACAAGCGATAAAGTTACCATATTACACTTGTCCATGCACACCCGTGTTTATAGCAGCACAATTTATAGTGGCGAACTCTTGGAAGCAGCCTACGTGTCCATCAACAGAGGAATGGAGAGCCGGGCGTGGTGTGCACATCTGTAATCCCAGCACTCGGGAGGCTGAGGAAGGAGGATCGCTGTGAGTTCAAGACCAGCCTGGGCTACATAGTGAGTTCCAGGTCAGGCTCAACTACACAGTGAGACCCTGTCTCAAAAAACAAACAAACAAACAAACACCAGAGGAATGGAGAAAGAAAATGTGCTATTTACATGCAATGGAGTTCTACTCTAAGAAAGACTAAACTTGAATCATTTGTAGGAAAACGGATGCACCTTGAGACCATCATGCTAAGTGAAAGAAATCAGACACACAAGCTTAACTGTTGCATGGCTTCTCTTATATGAGAAACACAAAGTACAAATAAAAGCGAATAGAAAATAAGGACAGACGTTTTGCAAAGGGAAGGAGACCAAGGGATGGAGGGGGGAGGAGGAGAGGAGAAAGGGATGAAAAGAAAACTGACCTGTGCTGTGCATATATGCACCAGCTCCCCACAGGGGTGGGATCATGATGTACAGCAAACCTATTCTAATAAAAAACAGAGATTGAAAAAAGAAGAGGGGCAGCTTCAGTCAGTGACTTCCACCTCCAAATTAATAACCTAGGTTAAACCCAAAGTCAGTAGAAGAAATAATTCAGATCAACGCAGTTCTCAGCAGACCATTGAACAAAAGTGATAGAGAACATCAATTAAACCAAAACTGATCTTCTGAGTGACCAATAACATAGATAAGCTTCTAGACCCGGTGATTAGGGGGCAAAAAGAGAAAGTAGAAATTTCCAGTATCAGGAACAGCACAGTCAGGGCACAGATGCACATATTAAAGGTGCTGAGGGACGGTTGTGGACAGCTCTGCTGTTGTGAGCTGTGTCAGAAAGCTCATAGAATCAGTGCAATAGAGCCATTAGAATTGAGGAGTGAGTTTAGCAAGACCTCAGGATGCAAAATCAATATAAAGAAAGCCAATTGTATTTTATTTCTCCACACCAGCAGCAATAATCGAAAGTTGAAATAAAACTGTCATGTACAATGACATCAAGATATATTAAACACAGGCGGATAAAACTGACAAAAGATATCAGAGACCTGTACGAGGGAACTCCAAAACACTGCTGAGAGAGAAGTTAAGGCTGTGAGTCCCGGAGAGGCAAGGTGGACTTAATGTTATTAAGATTCACTTCTGTGGGGCTCACTCTGGTGCAGAGCAGGGTGAATTGTCAGTCAACTGTCAGCTGGAACTACAGAGCTGGTGGGAGCCTCGGTGGGCGGGGCAGCCCTTGTGCGGGCTTCTGTCTGTGGCACAGATGGCATAGGCCTGGCAAGGCTCTGCGGGGACCCAGGCCACCTTTCTGGGGGAATGAGGAGCAGGTGGCTGGCTCCCTGACCGCAGCCCCACCCGCTGCGCTCCTGGGTGGCTGAGCTGGAGAGCTGGAGAGCTGGAGAACTGGACTGCAGGACAGCACAGCCCCCGGCCCAGTGGGTGGGGAAGGATGTATGTACCCAGGCTGCCCCATCCTCCAGCACCCTGGGGTGTCACCGAGTGGGTACCCCTGTTACGGAGGCCTTCTTGATGCCCTCCCTCCCCAGAAAGCCTCCCACAGCCCTCTCTGCCCCCTACCTTCTTTATCCGGCCTCAGAGGGTTCTGAGATGGCCGTAGGATGGGGTGGTGTTGGGGATCGGCTCCAGCACCCTGGGAGCTGATGCAGTCCTGGTTGCCCGCTTTGACCCGACACCCCCGGAAAGCTGAGGGGCTGAGCTAGGGCCCAGGAAACCTGGCCTCCAGGTCCTTCTTGGAAGGTAGGACCTGCCCTGCTCTCATCGGAAACTGATGGGCAGTCACTTCGCCAGCACCCCGATACCTCTGTCACAGAGTCAGAGCCCAGGCACTAGGCTGGGTCTGGGGCCGGCGCTTGAGAGGAGACCCAGGAGTGTGTCCAAATCTGCTCGCGCAGCGGTTTGAGCTGGTCACAGCGGACTTTCACCTCCTGCACTGTTAATAGCTGTCTGCAAATCGGCTCCCGGACTTGGTGAGGTCAGAGCGCCGCCCGAGAGCCCTGCTGTTGGGCCTCCTACCCTCCACATTTCAAGAGATGAGGCTTCAGTGTGGGGAGGGAAGGGCAAAGTAGCCTGTGAACTTGTGAGCAGAGAGAAACAGCTCTGCCAGAGTGAACAGCAGCCCCCCACGCTTTGGGGGGTCTGTGTTCGTCCCAGCTACCTCCTCTGCTCGCTGATCTGGGGGCGCACCTTCCCTAGACCCTGGTGAATCTGCCGGCCTCCTCCCAAGCTTCCCCTCGGGCCACAAGTACCCCCCCAACCTGATTAGAAAGGGGGCACCCTAAACTGCTCGTGCCCCCCACCCTCCAGGGTGAACTGGGTCCTCCGTTCCGAGACAGGTAGAGTTCCGAGCCCGGGGTCGCAGGGCTCCCTCCGGATAGTGTCCAAGGCTGCACCACCGTGGCCCTCCTTTCTGTTTTAGGCTGTTCTCCTTTGGCTCTGTCTTTTATTTCCTTTTTAACAAGTAACAAGAATTATTCCTGTAATTGTTTTAAAGGTTAAAATATTATGACAGCTCCCTGATTGGGCTGCTGGGAGAAGTAAATGCGAAGAGGCTCCAGGGAGGCGTCCAACAATTTCCTGGCAGCCGGAGAAAGGGCAGCCTTCCTCCACCAGGCTCCTGGGCTTCGTCTGTCCATGGGGAGCTGCTGGGTCCCCTCCTCTTGTCACTCTTCAGATCCTCCCCAAACCAGCCTGTTGCCATGCTCCAGAGAGGTCCTGTTTCACCTGGTACTGCACTGGGGTCTTTGGAATTTGGGGTCACAAGAAACTTTAGATGGAGCCAGACAGCCAGCCATGGTGACAGAGGCTGAAGCTGGAGGATTGCCACAAACGAAAGGCTGGTCCAAACTATATAGTGAGGCCCTATTTTAAAAGGCCTAAAAAAGAATCCCTAAAATTTTAGGGGGCAGTTCTAATAGTCAGCTTGTCTGCCTCTCAACAGTGTCCCAGCCCTGGCTGGACTCAGTTCTCCAGCAGCCACTTGGGGCTGTCCTACTAGCCCAGTCTCCAGGGCTCTGCACTCTAACTTTACCTTCCTGGCTACACACAGAAGACTGAGACATCACGGGGTCAGAATTCAATCTTAGCACCTGCCTCGAGGAAGTTGAGGTGCCCTAAATTTCCTGGAATAGGCATCTGTAATATTGGACAGTTTCTTAAAAAACCCTCCAGGGACCAGTGTAAAGATTCTGTGAAGTAGAACTGGGGTGTAACTCAGTGGCAAAATGCCAGTTTAGCGAGTGAAAAGTCCTAGGTTCTGCTCCCAGCCCTGCAACAACAACAACAAACAACAAAAGATTCAATGAAAGAAATGCCATGTTAGATCCCAGAGATCACAGTACATTGAAGAACAGTCAGCAATCAGACACCCCCAACCCCTGAAGAACCCCGGTCAAAGTCGGGAGGACGGAGTCCCTCCCCAGGCCCCAGGAGTTAGCAGACAAACTTCCCAGCTCACTAGCTGTGAGAATCACAAGCTCCCTCCCTAGCCTGGAGCAGCAGTGGAGGGGAGAATTGGGCCACCCGGCTCCCTGGGGCAGAGAGACTTTGGTCCAAGGGGCTGTTTCTTTAAGGAGGGAAGAACTGGCAGCATCAGGCAGCTGAATAACAATCACAATTCACAGTTCCCCCACCCCTACCTGCCCCTGCTGCTTTGGAAATGTTGATGAAGGTGGAGTTGTGAAGGTGCGGTGATGGGTGTTAGGGTAGGGGTCTTGATCAGCCCCTTTCCCTGTACAAACCAACCGACTAGGGAATGGGGCCTCAGGGTTTTAGGAGAAGTGTGAAATTTGCAGGAGCCACCTTAAAACTGCCCTATACCACTTGGATGCTTTTTGGGTAATCACCTCACCCTTTCAGCAAACAGAGGGACTTTGAGAAGCAAATGCAGGATTTAGCTGTTTGGCCTCATTGGATAGGAAATGCTCAGAAGCCCAAGACTCCACATCAGTGATTTCAAATTGTAGTAATGGCTGAGAGCAGTGACTTAACCTGAAAGTGCCGTGGTGTACCGTGGACCTGAGCCAAGGTGAATTCTATACTGTGCCGAGGTGCACAATGGACCCTTGCCGCGCTGTACCGTGGACCTGTACCACCATGCCTTGTATACCTGAGCCACTGCGCACCATGGCTCTGTGCTGAGGGCACCACTTATCCGTGCTCTGGTGCACACTGGACCCATGCCAGAGTGCATTGTGAACCTGCGCCATGCCACAAAGAGGACTTGTACCAAGGTACACCATGACTCCATGCCGCGGTGCACCGTGGACCTATGTACCGTGGACCTGTGTACTGTGGTGCACTGTGGACCTGTGCTGTGGTGCACTTGTGGACCCATCCCACGGTACACTGAGGACATGCACCATGACGCACCACAGCTCCACACCATGATGCACAGTGTACCTGTGCCATGGTACCCTGAGGATTTGTACTGCAGGGCACCATGGCTCCCTGCCGCAATGTACTATGAACCCATGTCACAGTGCCCTGTATACTTGTGCCATGGTACTTTAAGGACTTGCACCACAGTGAACCATAGTTCCATGCCCTGGTAAACCCGGGAGGACTTGCACCAAAATGTACAGTGGCTCCATGCCGCGGTACTCCGTGGACCCATGTGCTACGGTACTCCGTGGACCAGTGTGCCATGGTGCACCTGTGGAACCATCCCCTGGTGCACTGTGTGACCCCCACGGTACACCAAGGACTTGCAACATAGTGCACCATAGCTCTGTGCCGCGGTGCACTGTGGACCCATGCCGCGGTGCACCTGTGTGTGACTGTGTCACGGTAAACCAAGGAGGACTTGCACCACAAAGCACAGTGGCTCTGTGCCGCTTTACACCCTACACCCATGCCACAGTACACCAAGGACTTGCACCATGGGCCCATGCCGCGGTGCACTTGTGGACTTACCCTGCAGCACACCATGTACCTGTGCTGCGATGCAGTGTCTACCTGTGCCGTGGCACACCACAGACTTGTACCACAGTGCACTATGCATCTGTGCCGAGGGGTACCTTGCACCTGTGTGGATGTGTTGCGGTCCTGTGCCAAGGTGTGGTGTGCACTCATACTGCAGTGCCTCAAGTACCTGTACCATGGTGCATTGTGCATCTGTGCCACGGTGTGTTGTATACCTGTGTCACCATGTATTATACCTTTGTGCCAAGAGTACACAGTGGACCTGTGCCAAGGCGCGCTATGAACCTAACAGCCATGAGCCGGTTCTGTACTGTGACGTGGCCTGTGCCATAATATGCCATGGGTCATGGGCCAATGCTGAGGTGTGCTGGGCACCTGTGTCTCCGTGCTACAGTGTGCTGTATATCCGTGCCGCGATGCACCCGTGTACCCATGTCAAGAGTTTTTGGTGGTGCTTCCTCAGCTGATGGTCCAGTCCTGGTTTTCCCACCACCATTTGCTGTGTCCTGGTCTCCTAGCTCCCCTTATCAGTTGCAGTGCTCTGGTCTCTGTGCAAGGCTTGCAGCCACCCAGGGTTCTGCGTGGGAAGCCAGCCATAGCCCACTGGCTTTTTGAAAGACAACATTTGTTCCTTTTTAAGGACTGCACGTGTTAAACTTGTATTGACCCTGCACGGGAGAAACCCAGACAGCCAAAGATCTGTAGGAGTCAGGTGTTGTTAACTCCATTTTGTTATGTTAAAGATCTGATGTTATCTATAGGAGCAGGTATTGAGGTTACTATGGTAATCCTATCCCATAATAGTTCGGTCTTTTCCTTTAAAAGGCTGATGCCTGCCTGCAATAAACGTCGCCTTGATCAGGCTCTTGTCTTGGCGTCCTTCCTTTCTCTCTGCCCCATCTCCACCCCGCTGCTCTTTCAGGTTTGAGGCACTGCTGGACAGTGCTCTGTGTCCCCGGTTCGCGACAAGTGGCGCCCGAACAGGGACTTGAAATTGAAGCGGTGAGCGGCGAGTAATCAGAAGAAGCCTGCTGTCAAAAAGGGCTCGGCCGAGTCGAAACAAGGAGGACACCGCTGTCTGGAACGCCCGGCGGGGAAAATCCTCCGAGGAGCAGGTACCAATGGGGCACATAGGATCCAAGATGAAATTTAGCACAGTAATTCAGTCTTTATTCAGGGAGAAAGGAATTAAGGCAAATAAAAAGTCATTGTTTCAATTTCTTGATTATATGGATGAAACTTGTCCTTGGTTCAGTGATGTAGAGGAAATAACTGAAAATGTTTGGGCTAGAGTAGGAGAAGAATTAAATAAAAAATTAAGGAGTCATAATTCTGACAGTGTACCAGCCATTACATTTTCTTTCTGGTCTTTAATAAATGAGTGCTTACAGAAAAGGGATGTACAAGGCTTAGATAAACACCTCAGAGAGGCCAAAGAAACCTTAGAGGAGTTAAGAGAAGTTGAATCACAAAATTCAGAACATAAGGAGAGAGAGTCAGGGAATTCACAGAACAAGACTGCAAACACATTGCTTATCTTATGCAGGAAATGTTCTATGGTCACCTTTTGTCAAACCATTTGCCCCTGGGTGGGCTGTTAACCAAGGTAGCAATTAGCATATGAAGAAGCACAGTCTGGCCTATTAGCATGGAGTCACTTTAGCCTATTCTAGTCTTACAAAAGGTTATATCAAATGGGGAAGAAAGATTCCATAAGTTCACTCCCCTCCAGAAAGCGCTGAGAGAGGCCGAAAAGGAAGGAGAGGACTTAGGCAACTTCAGCTCTTATGCTTATCCAGTTATCGAAGAATTAGATGGCCAAGGTAACAGGGTAAGAGGGCACAAACCCATTGATTTCAAGATGGTCAA